TTGGTTGCAGATTGATCATGAGACCCACTGCCACCACCAGCACCCTCTTTTCCACTACCACTAGCACCTTTTTTTCCAAGTTTCACCCGACAGTCACGTGTCATATGCCCTTTCAGATGGCATCTCCAACACACAAGTTCCTTGGAATCCTTGTATTTTTTGTTGGACTTTCTGTTGTTACCCTCATACTTACGTTTTTTACCCTTGCCCTTGTGATTAGAATTGTCTTCTTTAAAACATTCAACCATATGAACTTGGGGCTGTCCAAAATCAGATTTTCCCTTTCCAGTTCCTTTGTCATTCTCTTGATCACGAAGTCCTTCTTCGATTTTCAAATGACTCCCAAGTTGAATCAAACTTATCTCTTCCTTTTTATGTTTCAAATGGTGTTTGAAATCTTTCCATGAGGGTGGAAGATTATTAATCACACTTGAAACAGCAAAGGATTCGTCCATGGACATGGTGTGTTGTTTGAATTGACCATAAATTCGTAGGATTTCATTATATTGTTCCATTACAGATCGAGAATCAACCATTTTATAATTGTTGAAATCAGAAACAATGAACTTTTTACTTGAAGCATCTTCTGCAATATATTTTGCTTCAAGTGTGTTCCATAGTTCACTTGCTGTTTCAATGTTTTGATGAGTGTTAAAGAGGGAATCACACATACCATTCAGAATGTGACCAAGGCAAATGTAGTTGTCATTCTCCCATTTGCTTCTTCTTTTGATCTGTTCCAGACTTGCATCTTCAACCTCTTCTGTTTTTGGAGTAGAAAGAACATAGACAACTTTCAAAGTGGTCAACCAGAAGTGCATCTTCTTTTGCCAACGTCTGAAATCTTGGCCCTGAAATTTCTCCACATGTCTTTCAGTGAATTGCCAACCATCTTTTCCAGAAAACGAAAATATCAAACAAGATTGTTGGGGAAATTCGAAACAGGGTTATAGAAAATCTGGATCACAAAACAGGAATCGTGTAAAACACTTTCCTTGTTTGATATTTCGACCCTATTGGGTATCATGAAATCCAAACTAGGATAATTCCTGAAGCAATAATTCTGATTTTAGGCACAAAATCAGAATCAATTTTGATAAGATGAAGAAGAAGAAGAAGTCTCCAACGTTTTTCTCTGTGTTTCAAAAGTATCCCGTTTTCTTATCTTATCCAAACAACGGATAAAAGAAAAGCAGTTTCCAACTTTCAAAAAATGACAATTTAGTCCTTCTACTATTCTTTCAAGAAATGACAATTTAGTCCTTGTACTGATAATGTTTAGTAAATACAAGTGTGCACTCCCGCACCTCCTAACTTGACACAGTAGATTAGGGTTCAGTACTAATAATGTTTAGTAAATACAAGTATGCACTCCCGCACCTCCTAACTTATATTATAACTAAAACATTATTCTTGAAACACTTGTTAAGTCCATTACACTAAAATATATTTGGTGATAAAATCAC